TAGCAGCGTACTTTTTCAAGGAGTAATGCTGAGTGTTGAACAGAATTTCCTTTTAGCTGGGTGTACAGAGACTACCTGTGAAATGTCTTTCTACGCACTGAAGAACACGTGTAAAACCTGGAGATGACACCCTTTGTCATCTACAACTCTCTTCTCCACCTTTGGAGAAGTCCAATCTATTTGTTCCCTTCTAGCTTAGGTTTGAAGGCAAGTCCTGCAGACATCTGTGTCGGTTACGAGGTGGACTGCGGACTCCCTCGTACACGCTGCAAAGCCCTTGGGTACTTTGACCTCCAGAAACCTGGTAAGTGGCTCTTGGGAAGCAAAAGGAACATTTTGCTTCAGACATGGGAATCTCCCAGATGAAATACGCGTGGGATGGATGTCATTTAATGCACTCAGATCTATGTGTTGTCCACCAAAAACAGTACATTTATGTAATAAATATAATAATGATTAAGCAATTGCCTATTTCATCAAGAGGTTGGCCTAATAAGCAAAAATAGTGCTTAATACCACCTCTCACTGAAAAGCGGAAGAGAAAAGATTATCTACTGCCTTCCTCCAATTCGTCTGTTTAGATTTTTTTCTTTAACATATAGCACATTATAGAACAAGATTTTGAAAAATAAGACATATACAAAGACATATTAAATTGTATGTCATTGGAAAAAAAATAAAAAACAACACCCCACCGCACATGGAACAGACAATTCCCATGTTTGATTTTGAAAACTCATTGTCTTTCTTGCATCCAGGCATGAAGAGACAGAAGATACCACGTGTGCTACAGCTATGGCTGATAAGTCTCCCAATGACAGTGGAGCTAAAACTTCTCCTAGGAGCCCCTAATTTTTTCCCCTTCTGACTTCCAGTATTTTATCTGTCTGTGACATCAGTTATCAAATGAAAACTTATTGTTTTTTTTAATAAATCACCACAGAAGAAGCCTACTGGTGTACAAGAGAGAAATCCAAGGTTTTATAAACAGAAGGCTAAAAGTTTCCACTCAGAACTTCCTAACTTGGCATAAATCCAATCATATCATAGCTGTTATAGCACTGCTGTCAACATAGTTGGGAAAAAAAAAAAAAGAGGTTTTCCCATCATCATATGGCACTGGAACAAATAATCAGCAAGTCTTAAACATGCACTGCAAAATAGCTGAAGAAGCTGGATAATAGCTGGATTATGCCCAAATATAAGCAGCCTGAAACCTGTATATTTGGATTTGCCGTTTAGAAGGTAATCAATACGCAACTACTATATTTAGGTAATTATGATAACCAATCACTTATCAGCCACAAAGCCAAGATTGGTTATTATTTACATCCTGTTCATGTGCATTTTAAGCTTGCTCTGCAAACTGTGGTATATATATCGCTTAAATTTTCCGTATTCTCTGAGGTATGGAAGGAAATGGAAGAATACATTCTTCTCTCTTATTTGCTGTTATTATATTAATTTCACCAGTCTGTAGATATTAAGTCTGTAATGTTATCACTCCTCAACTGAAAGATCTTTGTTGCACAACAAAGCAGCGTGGAATCTCACTACACAAAGGCTTTGAGACACAAATTGAGCCAATATAACAGCCTGCAAGAAAGTTTAAGGTTCCTCCCTCCTGTAATTCTTGCAATTCTTCCCCCCTCATTTTGTGTTGACTCTTTCAGTTATTGGACCCCTTTGTAAAATGGTGCAACTTACAATTTGCCAGAAAACCCACTCTCTTCCAGTAGCTTTCTTAAGCATTATTGAACAGGATTAGATAATGGAAGGGTTTGGTGAGCAGAAAGCAAAAAACCTCCCTGCTTCCACACATGGGCTCAGCCTCCCACCAAACAGTGGTGCAGGCAGGCAGCACTGCTACCCTCTCTGGAGCAGGACATCTAGGAAGCCTCCTACCCTTTGACAAGCAGCATTTATATTGCTGTCACATTTTCACTGTCTGATTGGACCTAGCTTAAAACAACTAAGTCTGCCCACATCTACATGCTCTCTGCAAAATCAAATGAATATAGTACTGAAAATGCTCAAAACAATGTAGATGAAATGCATGCTTCTTAAGAGTTATGCTGAAGAAGATAAGATCTAGTTATGAAATAGCTTAAATTATTTCTAATAAAAAATGAAAGCATGGTGAAATCATTAACTTTTGGGGGAAACCACATTTAAAGAAGGGCTGGGTGAGAAATATCATTAAGGCTTCATCCACTTCTACTGCAGCATATTTATTTCAGAAGGATAGCATGACCACCCAGGAAGATAAGTACCATGATGGCTATACAAAAAAAAAATCATTTATGCAAAGTAATATACTAGATTTGAATTTGAAAAACTCACTAAAAACTATTTCAGTATCCTTGATTCAGTTGGCTGATCCTTAGAAGACGTCAAGCATGAGAGCAGTGAATTCTAACAGTTGAAAAATTGAAAACTGACTTCTATTTTTCCCCCAGCCCACTTCAGAAGGAAGGTCAGGAAGGACTCCATAAAACAGCCAAAAGGAGCATTCAACCCTGCAAGCAAGATTATTTCATTCATCTCTGAAGGGACACTACAAACAGAAAGACAGCAAGGGATATGCTAGTGGCTATACAAAGATCTTCTCTGTTATCACCAAAGTATCTGTTCCTTCTGTGTTGGTAAATCCATACCAACACATTTTCTCCTCTTCCCACCTTCCAAGATAGAAACTACAATAAAACTATTACTTAATAAAATGGGCATATCTTTATAGAGCGGACTCCTACCCCAACCCTAACACATCACCTCCCAAGGCTG